GAGGAGGATGGTGATGAGGCGGAGGAGGAGGAGGAGGAGGAGGAGGCGGAGGAGGAGGAGGAGGAGGAGGAGGAGGAGGAGGAGGAGTAGGAGGAGGAGGAGGACCACTGTAAACCCAAGCGTCACCAACGATGTTGGAATCTACCCCCAAGCTCCCTCTTCATAGGCCCCTACAACGGTTCAGTTCCACAGAGGGGCCTGCCTCGTTGAAGGACAGCCGTTTGAAGACTTTTAATCCTGCCAACACATTATTTTCGGTATTCCAACGCTACGGACAAACTTGACTGTTGTAGTTTGACGCTTGAATCGGGCCAGAACGCCATTCCTGGGACTTCAACACAGCAGATTATCGTAACTGTTGCGCCCTCGTAACCGTGAGTCCTTCCGAAACGCCATTTCTGGTACGTCTATCATGGCAAGACAGAATGGGCGCGGCGTCAAGGCGAGAGCCCCATTTTGAAAACCACCCGCTCTCAATCCATGAGGCTCTTGCAGCATTTTAAATCGAATGTGCGCGGCGCTGAGGCGAGAGCCACATTTCGAAACCCACCCGCCCTCAATCCGTGAAGCTCTTGCAAACGTTTAAAATGTGCGCCAAGCTAAGGCGAGAGCCGCATTTCGAAAACCACCCGCCCTCAATCCGTGAAGCCCTTGCAAATGTTTAAAACGAATGTGCGCCACGCTGAGACGAGCGCCACTTTTTGAAAACCACCCGCCCTCAATCCGTGAAGCTCTTGCACAGTTTTAATTCGAATGTGCGCGGCGCTAAAGCGAGAGCCGCATTTCGAAAACCACCCGCCCTCAATCCGTGAAACTCTTGTAAATGTTTAAATCGAACGTGCGCCACGCTGAGGCAAGAGCCACGTTTTGAAAACCGCCCGCCCTCAATCCGTGAAGCTCTTGCAAAGTTTTAATTCGAATGTGCGCGGCGCTAAGGCGAGAGCCACGTTTTGAAAACCTCCCGCCCTCAACCCGTGAAGCTCTTATAAGTGTTTAAAACGAACGTGCGCGGCACTAAGGCGAGAGCCACATTTTGAAAACCACCCGCCCTCAATCCGTGAAGCTCTTGCAAAGGTTTAAGAGGAATGTGCGCGGCGCTCAAGCGAGAGCCACATTTTGAAGACGACCCGCCCTCCATTTGTGAAACCGCCAGCTTCAGAGTCATACGTGGTGAGGAAGTCTCACGTGAAACGCCCGGCCCGTCGTTAACACTGGCTTCGGGGTGCGACAGGGGGAAATCATTTATAAGGAAAATCATGGAGGAGGATGAGAAGGCGGAGGAAGAGGAGGAGGGGGAGGATAGAGGAGGAGGAGGAGGAGGAGGAGGAGGAGGAGGAGGAGGAGGAGAAGCAGTGTCAGAAGCCAGCGCCCGTGTCGTCACGACGTGGGCCTGCTGGGGTCGAGCTCGCGTCTGCAGTGCTGGGCCCCTTGGCCGCGGGAGGCCTTCAAGACCTATCTTGCCACGGCGAGATCACTGGAGTTCACGGAGCCCGCAGCCGACCGCTTGCGGACCCGACGGTGCAGAGGATGATGGTCGGAGTGGCTGCCGGGAGAGGAGCAGCGGATTGCCGGAAGGATGTTTGGAGGGGTGTTGATGATGACGACGATGAAGAAGATGCGGATTACGATGATGATGATGATGATGATGATGATGATGATGATGATGATGATGAGGATGATTATGATGAGGATGATGATGGTGATGATGGTGATCATGATGATGGTGATGATGGTGATGATGGTGATGATGGTGATGAAGATGCGGATTACGATGATGATGATGATGATGATGATGATGATGATGATGATGATGATGATGATGATACGGATGCTGCTGCTACTGATGATGCTGATGCTGATGCTGATGATGATGAGGATGACGACGACGACGATGATGATGATGATACTGATGATGATGATGATGATTATGATGATGATACTGATGATGATGATGATGATGATGATTATGATGATGATGATGATGCTGCAGGTGATGACGATGGTGTGAATGATGATGACGATGACAATGCTGCTGCTGTTGTTGATGATGATGATGCTGATGATGATGATGATGATGATGCTGACGATGCTGATGATGATGATTATGTTGATGCTGATGATGATGATGCTGATGCTGATGATGACGATGATGATGAGGAGGATGATAATGATGATGCTGTTTTTGATGATGCTGATGCTGATGATGCTTGTAATGATGATACTGAGGATGCGGATGACGATCAGGATGAGGATGATGATGATGCTGCTGCTACTGATGATGGTGATGATGCTGATGATGTTGATGATGGTGATGACGACGACGACGACGATTCTGATGCTGATGCTGTTGATGATGATGCTGATGATGATGATGCTGCAGGTGATGCTGCTGCTGATGATGATGCTGATGTGAATGATGATGCTGATGCTGACGATGCTGATGCTGATGATGATGCTGATGCTGCTGACGATGATGATGCTAATGCTGATGATGATGCTGATGTTGATGCTGATAATGATGCTGATGATGATGGTACTGGTGATGGTGCTGATTATCCTGATGATGCTGATGATGATAATGGTAATGCTGCTGATGCTGCTGATGCTCATGCTGCTTTGGCTGATGGTGATGATGCTGCTGATTATGACGACGATGATCATGATGCTGATGCTGACGATGATGATGGTGCTGATTATGATCATGATGGTGATGAGTATGATGATGGTGCTGATGATGCTTATGCTGATGCTGATGCTGATGATGATGCTGCTGCTGATGATGATGAGGATGCTGCTGAGGACGCTGCTGATGATGATGCTCCTGCTGATGATGATGATGCTGATGATGATGATGATGACGATGATGATGATCATGATGCTGATGCTGCTGCTGATGACGATGATGATGCTGATAATGATGATGACGGTGACGATGATACTGATGATGATGATGATGATGATGATGATGATGATGATGATGATGATGACGGTGATGATGCTGATGATGCTGATGCTGATGCTGATGTTGATGTTGATGCTCATGATGCTGATGGTGATGATGATGAGGGGCAGGAGGAGGATGCGAAGGAGGAGGAGGAAGATGAGGAGGAGGAGGATTGTCGAGGATGTTCGGAAGGAGCAGATGGAGCACGAGCGATGGCGGGAGCGCGACGCTGGCGGTGGCGGCCTGATGAGCACAACGCTGTAATCAGGGGGTGGTGAGCGAGCGATGGAGGCACATCTAGGACAGGTAAGAAGCCATCATATCCAGGTGCCCGCGGCAAGTTCCGCCACAGTGCCAGCGCAGCGCTCTGCACGCCTCTCTTCACCAGAGCTAGGGTTCGCTCAAGTTGCTCTGCCCTGATTCTTTCTGAGTGAGTCTGCCGTGCTCATAGTTTTTGGGGGTGGGGGGGGGGGCTTGGGGGTCCCTTGTGGCTTTCTGGGGGCGTCTTAGTTTCTTGGAGCCTACTTGGTCGTCATGGGGCCTTTTGGGGACCACTCGGGCCGTCCTGGGTCTTTCGGGCGCTTTCTGCGTCCCCGCTTGGGCAGTCTGGGTGGCTTCTTGGGTCCCTCTCGGGCTCCTCGCTAACAGTACGTTGTTGAGCGACTCTTGGGCCGCCGTTTGGAAACAACGCGACGAACAATGCTGTATATGTTTGTGCTCTTGCGTGTATGGCCTCTCTTTTGACCCGAGGTCCTCGCAACGCCAGTGCTTGGGCCACGGCAGAGCCGCCTTGGGGCCTTCCCTTTGCCACTCCATTTGCTATCTTCACCCGAAGGGCAAGTGAACCATAACGCGCTCACAGTCTTCAGTGCAGAGGGGGCGCGCATCAAGAAACCATATGCTTTTTGTCCGGATATCCTGGGTCTCTTTGCTCCTCGCGTTGCGCGGCGACTTCCCGCGGTCGTTGAAGGAGCTGCTGCGTTCAGGGTGCTCAGGGTTTCCCCTCTGGTGCACCTCGCGCGCAGGTTCTCAGGGTTGGGTTTCTTGTGAGGGTTTCTTGCGGCCGCGCCCGCACTGTAACGCGCTCATAGTTTTCAGTACTTTTGACTTTTGCTGTGTGAGCTCTCTCTTGGGTCCTTGTGGGACGCCTCTTGGGGCCTCCTTTCGGGCTGTCTTCGAGGTCTCTTGGGCGACCTCGAGAACTCGCTGGGCCGTCTTGGCTGCCATCTCGAGCATCTTAGGATGCCCTGTGAGACCGCCGTGAGATGTCGGACCCGTTGGAGAGCCTCGGGGGTGGTGGTGGTGGTGCACTTCGCTGCGCGTAGCGAGGGGAGTTTCTAGAAGCTTACAGGAGCCCTTCTAGCCTTCACCTGGCGTGTCTTGCCCCCTCCAGCCTGCGTGTGCCACTAGGGCTGCGCGCCCTGAACGGGGCAGTGCGGCTCTGCTCGAGAGCAGAGGCCGACTTGTGTAAGGCCTACGACCACCCGCGTCTCGCCGCTCAGAGTTCCCAGCATGACCGCTCCGCAGCGGCAATCGCGGTGGAATCGAGGCGACGCTGGAGCTCCACGAGCCCGATCCGTTCCGATCCTCCAACCCTCGAAGCATCATTGAGGAGGATCTCCTTGGGGTGTGCTCTGGCGGGCCGCCGCCACGACGGTCGTTCTGGCGAGCTGTCGCGGGCGGGCAGGCCTGGGCGTGGAGACATCCGTTTGGCGGACCGCCCGCCCCGAAGCTGCGTGCAAGCATGCTGAGGTCCACGAGGGCTTTCCACGTGCATGCACGGGGCGCGCCAGAGCGGGCCTCGCCCTCGAGGAATCGAGAAGGTGACATCTCTTCTCGGCCGAGGTTGGCAGAAGGCCGATGGAGGCAGGAGGAAGGAAACCGAGAGAGGCTCCGCCAGCGGAAGACCAGTGGGAGCCGGCGGAAGTCAAAGCTTCGCCCCCAGGAGTCCTCCTCCTCCTCCTCCACCTCCTCCTCCACCTCCTCCTCCTCCTCCTCCACCTCCTCCTCCACCTCCTCCTCCTCCTCCGTCACCCACCCTGGATTCAGGGCTGCCTGGGCGGGTCACATCGATCTTTAGAGCTTGCTTACACGTTGACAACATCACTTGCGCCTCCCGGTGCAGCAGTGTATGCGAACATGAAGCGTGGTCCGTGCCCCTCTGCTTTCGAGGGAGGAGCGTGGATGAGGTCTGCCAATGGCCTTCGTGCCACCTCGACGCCTTGCAGAACAAGCCCTCCTACCTTTCAGGGTTGCATGAGCCTTGGGCCTCGGGGCACTCCACTAATTACGTGCTGAAGGCACGGTGGTGGAGATATATTGTAGTGGTGGCCTCTGGCCGGTGCCGCCGATCCGGGGCGCTCCTGATGTTATCGGGAATGGACGGTGACGACGACAACGGACGACCAACAATAGACGAGCGGGACAATTACGACGACGACGACCTACAAACGGGGTAACGACGACGATTGACGACGACGATGACGACGACGATGATGACGTCGATGAACACGAACACGAACACGAACACGAACACGACGACGACGACCACGACTTGTGTTCGAGCAATACAACATCATACCATGCCGAGTGAGTGCCTCTTGGGGTCTTTGGGCTCTTGGGGACTTCTGGGGGTCCTTCGGGGCCTCTCTGGGGCTTCTTGGGTTTTTGTTGGGGCCTCTTGAAGATCTCTTGGGGGCCTCGGGGGACCTCTTGGGGTTTTCTTAGGGTGGAGGACTGGAAGGGTCAGTTCGGGTTCATCCTCTTACGGCCACTAGGGGGCCTCTCGGGGTCGTCTTGGGAGCTCCCTGGGCTGTCTTGGGGCCGTCTTGGGCCGTGCTGGCTTCTTCTCGGGTCCTCTTGGGATGTCTTGCGACGATCTTGGGGGCCTTTCGGACCGCCGTCGGCGCTTTGAACACCGAAAAGGCGACAATCTCAACATGCAAACAAATAAAAAGGATTTTGACCATTTTACCCTCATGAGGCTTTCTTGGGGGTCCTCTTGGGGCCCTCAGGAGTCGTCTTGGAGGCCTCCCGGGCCGTCTTCGGGCCGTCTTGGGCATCCTGGAGCGCTCTTTGGCCGTCTTGGGGTCCTCCTGGACCGTCTTTGTGGCCTCCTGGGACTCTGTTGGCCCGTCTTGTGCGGTTTGGGGTTCCCGGGGCGGTGGGGGGGGGGGAACACGTGGATTCCATGACCTTCTCCCCCCCTAAAAGATGAATTTAACAACAAGACATAACAAAGTTCTTTGGTCCCAAAAATCCTCCCTCCGTCGGCAGAGCCACCCCAGCGCCCTCTCCAGCATAGCCGAAGATCAGGCTGCAGCTTCTTGAAGGTCACGCGCCCGATCGGCGGATTTTTTCAACATCGGGATCGGTGCTTCGTCCTGCGTGTGTTTTTACGCTCCAGGGGCAGATTGGGCCCTCTGGGGCCGCCTGGGGCGCGCCTTGGGCTGTCTTGGGGCCCTCGTGGGCTGTCTTGGGGGGCCTCTTGCCTCGCCGAGGCCGTTTTGGCCGCCCTGACACCTCCCCGCCCCCCCCGTCCAGGTCCATGGGGAGGGGGTAGGGGGAGGGATAAACCCCTCCCCGAAGGGGAAGAGGGAGGGGTGGAAGAGGAAACGCCCTAAACCACCGACGCCCAGAGGGCTGGTGGGATTCGTACACATATATTGACACGCAGTTCGTGGATTGTGCGGGCTATCGGGAGATGAACATTCCGCATCTCGTGATCCTCTCCTTCCCCATCTCCCTTCTCCTCTCCTCCTCCCCTGATTTCCTCTCTTCGCTTTCTCTCCATAGTCTTTCTCCGTCATCTTCCTGTTACGCTTCTTGTCCGTCCTTGGCAGGAGCGGCCCGATTACGAGAGCCTCAGGAAACTTTTCCGCGCCGTCCGCGCCCAGCACCCTGAGCTGGAGGACCACTCGTACCAGTGGATGCAGGAGAAGCCCCGCTCCTATTGTCCTCCAGCCCCCTCGCCCTTTCCCCATTCCTCCCCTCCTGTTCCTGATCCTGCTCATTCCAGTGTTGGTACTTCCCCTGCAATGCCCACTCTTTCTTTTCCCAGACTCGAGAATCGTGGGAGCTGTTCGCTCCGTGAAGTCACTCAGCACATTATACTCTGAGCGCGCGTGCAGTTTTGCGGGCTGGATGGCAGCGCCAAGGGATGCCTTCAGGGGCGATCCCGGAGGCCATCCGGGCGGCGGCGCACGGAACACGGTACCCGGATTTGCCCAGGTCCGTATTCCTTTTTCTTTCTCCTCCTCTTCCTTGTCCCCCTCCTCCTCCTCCTCCTCGTCCTCCTCCTCCTCCTTCTCCTCCTCCTCCTCCCTCCTCCCTCCTCCCTCCTCCCTCCTCCTCCTCCTCCTCCTCGTCCTCGTCCTCGTCCTCGTCCTCGTCCTCGTCCTCCTCCTCCTCCTCCTCCTCTCCATTTCCTCCTCCTCCTTCCTCCTCCTCCTCATCCTCCTCTTCCTCCTCTCCCTCCTCTTCCTCCTCCTCCTCCTCCTCCTCCTCCTCCTCCTCTGCCTCCTCCTCCCCCTCCTCCTCCGCCGGGCTGCGGCGACGATGCTCTCGCTGAAGACAGGGTGGAGCGGCGGGCCAAGCGGCTCGCTCGCCCGTCCCGCGCTCTGCGCCGAGGCCCAAATTTGCTGCACGCCCTCGGCTCGGACGGCACCACGAGGGGCAACCCGCGGGAGGATCAGGAGGCCGACGGACACGGAGCCCGGCGGGGGGTCCAGTCCAGAGCGCGGAGTCCGCAAACGCGGGCATCGACGCCAGGAGCATGGTGTGGTAGTTGCCCGGCGTTCGGGCGAGGCCGACGCGCTCCCGACGGGCCTGGTGGTGAGCACGCGGCTGCGGCGGAGCTTGCGTCCCAACGGCCGGGCGGGCGGGAGCCGGTCGGCAAGTCCGCGCACCCAGCGGAGGCCGCCGCTGGATGGCCGGCAGACGCAGCAGCGGAGCGGCCCGCGGCTGAGGCCGCTGGCAAAGCGGAGGCTGATGCCACGGCATGAACGTGCGCATTCTGTGGGCGCTTAGGGGAGTGGGGGAATTTCAAACCGTCCCCCCCCCAAAAGTCCCCGATGTCTAGGGACTGGGGAGACCCCCCAGAATAGGGGATCCCCCCTAGGCGCATTTGCGCAACGGGGGGGGGGTCGTTCACCCCCCTACCCCTCGTTGCAGGGCTCCTCCTGGCGCTGGCAGGCGACAACGACGACGACACCGACGACGGGATCTGGAGAGGGTTTTGGGGGGGGATTCTGTGTGAATGGGGGTGTGTCCAGTTCGGCAGGCGTTTTGGATGGTGGGGCCGGGGGGGTGGTGGGAGGCTCCCGACGCGTCAAGGAATATTTTGCACCCAAGAGCCAGTGAGATGCGCTCTCTCCAAGGCAGAGGCCGCGCGCTTGGCGGAGGAATGGGCTGTGCACGTAGCCAAAAGAGAGGGGGCCGAATTACAGTCCGAGGCCGAATATATTCGGCGCACGGCTGAGGCTGAGAGCCAGGGTCGAGTCGCAGACGAGGAGCTTCGCATTGCCTCGGCAGTGGGCCTCCGTTCGGGAAGTGTGGTTGGGAATGTTGCGCGTTATGTTTCCATTCCGTTGAGGTTGATATCGTTGCAGGCTGCCCCGTGCTGCTCCGCGTAGAAGGTGGTGTGGTTCTGATGGGTGCACAGTGCGCGGCATGCGATCCTGAGGGCGGTTTCAGTATTCGAAAGAGCGTGCTCTGTCGCTGCTGGCAGAAAACCGAGGGTGTCACTGGGGGGTTCCAGCCCATCCCCCACCCCTCTCGAAAACTGGGGGGGTGGGGTCACTGGGGGTTCCAACCCCCCTTCCTCTGGTCCATCATGAAAAGGGGGGGAGTCACTATTGGTTCGAACCCACCCTCCTCGCCGCCAGCAAACGACTCCCCCTCCTCCACCACTCTGGACACTGGGACACCGGTGGGGACAGTGGGGACAGTGGGACAGAGGTGGGGACAGAGGGGACAGTGGGACACTGGTGGGGACAAAAGTGGGGACAGTGGGACAGTGGTGGGGACAGTGGTGGGGACAGTGGTGGGGACAGTGGTGGGGACAGTGGTGGGGACAGTGGTGGGGACAGTGGTGGGGACAGTGGGGGGACAGTGGGGAGTGGGACCGTGGTGGGGACAGTGGGGACAGTTCGACAGTCCCCACTGTCGGGGACAGTGGGGACAAAAGTGGCGACAGTGGGACAGTGGTGGGGACAGTGGAGACAGTGGGATGGGGACGGTGGTGGTGGACAGTGTTGAGGGGACAGTGGGACAGTGGTGGGGACAGTTGGGACAGTGGGAAAATGGTGGGGACGGTGGTGGTGGGGACAGTGGTGATGGCGGTGGTGAGGACGGTGGTAGGACACTGGGACAGTGGTGCAGTGGGGAGAGTGGTGGGGACAGTGGGGACGGTGGGACAGTAGTAGGAACAGTGGGGACTGTTTGACAGCACAGTGGGACAGTGGTGGGGACAGTGGGGACAGTGGGGACAGTGGGACAGAGGTGGGGACAGAGGGGACAGTGGGATAGTGGTGGGGACAGTGGTGGGGACAGTGGGACAGAGGTGGGGACAGTGGGGACAGTGGAGGGAGTGGGACCGTGGTGGGGACAGTGGTGGTGACAGTGGGGACAGTGCGACTGTGGTGGGGACAGTGGTGGGGACAGTGGGGACAACAGTGGGGACAGTGGGACAGTGGTGGGGACAGTGGGGACAGTGGGATGGGGACGGTGGTGGTGGGGACAGTGGTGAGGGGACAGTGGGACAGTGGGGACAGTGGGAAATTGGTGGGGACGGTGGTGGTGGGGACAGTGGTGAGGGCGGTGGCGAGGACGGTGGTGGGACAATGGGACAGTGGTGCAGTGTGGAGAGTGTCGGGGACAGTGGGGACAGTGGGACATTGGTGGGAATTGTGGGGACAGTGGGACAGCACAGCGGTGGGGACAGTGGTGTGGACAGTGGGGACAGTGGGGACAGTGGGACAGAGGTGGGGACAGTGGGACAGTGGTGGGGATAGTGGGGACACTGGGGAGAGTGGGACCGTGGTTGGGACAGTGGTGGGAGACAGTGGGGACAGCGGTGGGAACAGTGGGGACAGTGGGGACAGTGGTGGGGACAGTGGGGACAGTGGGACAGTGGTAGGGACGGTGGTGGTGGGAACAGGGGTGAGGGCGGTGGTGAGGACGGTGGTGGGGACGAGGGAGTCGTTGGGGGGGGGCTGGGGGTGTTCGACCCTGTAGTGACCCCCCCTCGGTTTTCCGGAGGGGTGGGGGGAGCAGGGTGGGGGGGGGTGGTTGTCTGGTAAGGGGGAGGGGTTCGAGCAGGAAGGGAATTTTCTGAGGGGGGGCGACCCCAGGGCTCCGGAGGAAGAGGGGGGGGAATTTTCCATAGCAAAGCGGCGGGTCCACGGGACGGTCTGTTGCAGACGCTGGGGGAATTTTCCATAGCAAAGCGGCGGGTCCACGGGACGGTCTGCTGCAAACGCTTCTCCGGGAAAATGATGGAGTGGTTCCCATGGGTGTACGTACAGTTGCGGGCTTGTGCTCCCACGAATTGTTTCAGTATGCCTCCAAGTTGTGACCGCTTTCATATCCCACACCCTGTTGGACCTCTTGATTGCCGAATGGCAAGTTTCTTCCAGGATTCTTGGCGGGCTTGCGGTGCGTACGCGGCAGTCCAGAGGCTCGTCGTGACCACATGGTGTTCTGCAAACGGTGGCGCTCCACCTCCGTTGGTGGACCCTGGCGGCTGGATGGCTGGAATCCGGAATCCGCAAGGTGCTGTGGCCCCCGTGGAGTTCGGCGACCTGTCGGGCTTCGAACCCGCCGGCTGGCCGTCGCAGCTGGATGGTTGGAGCCCAGGGGATGTTGTGACAGTGGATGTCACCACCCACCAAACCACCCCAACCCAACCCGAAGGTCCAAATTTATCCTCGATTTCCAGTGGGGGGGGGTCGGGGAACGTTGAAAAAACACGTGGTATCCGTACCCCCCCCAACCCGAAATTCGGGTCAAATTCGGGTCTTCGGGTTGGGTTGGGGTGGTCTGGTAGGTAGTCAGGATGGAGCCTTTGTTTTCGGCCTTTGGGCATGCGGCTGTCGGCGCCCTCGACGGCTCCTCCTCCGACCCTCGGCGGGGGACTGTCGCGGCTGCTGCCGCGCCTGGTGGTCGGCCTTTCGTTCAGACGGCGCGCCCGCGCCTCGGATCCTCGATCGAGTCCTCCCTCCGTTCCCTTCCACCCTCCCTCTGCCCCTGCCCTCCCCCGTCCCTCCTCCCCTTCCCTGTCTCGCACTGTCCTCGCCCGTCTCCTCCCCCCTCCCCCGGCTCCCCCTCCCTTCCCCCTTCCGCCGCCTTTTTTATCTCCTTCCCTCGCTCGTTCTCCCTTCGTCCTCTATCTTTCGTGTCTGTCCTCGCTCGTCCTCTCCCCCTCTCCTCCCCACTCCCTCGTCTCTCCTCCTCGTCCTCCTACTCGTCCTCCTCCTCGTCCTCCTCCTCCTCCTCCTCGTCCTCCTCCCAACGGATGGTGCCAGAGGCGCTTTCGCACCTACCGTTCGTTGGCTTCCTGGCGGCGCATGAGGCGCTGTACCACCCACCGTTTGTTGGCTTCCTGGTGGCGGGAGGTAGGCGGAGGCATCTCACACACAAACACAGACACACAGGCACACACAGACACACACAGACACACACAAAGACACACAGACACACACAGACACACGCAGACACAGACAGACACAGACAGTCACAGACACACACACACACATACATACACAGACACACAGACACACACACAGACACACACAGCCACACACAGACACACACAGACACAGACACGCACACACAGACACACACAGACACAGACACACACACAGCCACACACAGACATACACACCGACACACACAGACACACACAGACATGCACAGAGACATGCAGACACGCACA